TTTTTTTTTTTTTTTTTTTTTTTTTTTTTTTTGACTTGGAGTCTTATTCCATCACCCGGGCTGGAGTGCAGTGGCACGCTCACAGCACCCCGGTGTCGACCTGCTGGACTCCGGCGATTGCCTTCCAAGTAGCCAAAACTACAGGTGTGTGCTACCACACCCGGCTGAATTTTTTGTTTTATTGTAGGGGTGAAGTCTTACCATGTTGCATAGGCTGGTCTCAAACTCAACAGGTGTGGTGGTGCCTGTAGTCCCAGCTACTTGGGAGGCAAAGGCGGGAGGATCACCTGAGCTCAGGAGGTCAAGACTGTGGTGAGCTGTGATCGTGCCACTGCACTCCAGCCCGGGTGACAGAGTGAGACCCTAACTCAAAAAAAAAAGAGAAAAGGATATAAAATGTTAGCTAAGGAGAGGTGCTATTGACATTTACGGAATTGGTATATTGAGAGGCTTTAGGTGTGCCGTGTGTATCTTCACAGTGTTCCCGTCACGTTAAAAGGAAGAAGGATGTTTTCCATCTCCCGAATAGGACATCGTCAGGGAGGTGTGGGCTTAGGGACATCCCCACAGGTGAGACCCGGATCCTGCAGCAGCGTGGCAGGGACCTGCTGGTCTAAGTGTCTGTTGGAGCCTTTTAAACTTGACCCTGAAGTGATTTGAGAGTTACAGAAACGTTGCAGCATGTCGTGTGGCATTCCCTCGTGGCCCCACTTCTCACGGGGCCAGGAGCCACACCTGCAGGTCGGCAGGGGCAGACCCTCACTCGGCTGCGTGAGCGTCCCTGGCCTGGATGGTCCCTGCCTGGAGCTGCCGCTGCCCCAGGAACACCAGGCCTCACGGTCAGGATGCTAGGAGAGCCGGCCGGTGGCTCGGAGGGCCAGTCGCTCTGTGAGGTGTTGCTTGGTGGGCTGTCTGGCCCTCCTGAGGGCGCTGAGGTTCTGCGTCCTGGGCGGAACCCTCTTAAGGACCTGTGTCCTCCTCAGGCCAGTTGGATGGCTTGTGGTATCTGCTTCTCATCATGGTGATGTCACCTTGCGCCCGGTCAGGGTGGCATCTGGGTCCCTCCACTGTGGGACTGCTGTTCCTCCTTACCTGGGAGGGGCTCTGGGGTGCACAGGTGTCTAGGCCTCCTTGGATGGGCCAGCAAGGGTTGCTGCGTGGGGCGGGCTGCGGCTGAAAGATTATTGCAACAGCGTTTGCCTAAGGGTAATCTCCTCTCTTCCTCTTCCTTCCGTCTTTTTTTTTTTGGTAGAGATGGTGGGGGGGCCCCTCTGTGTTGTCCAGCCTGGTCTCAAACTCCTGGCTTCAAGCGATCCTCCTGCCTCAGCCTTACTCCTTCTTGTCATTGGACTTCTCTGTAGGAAGGCTGCCTCTCCATTTATTTGCTTCTTACCGTTTCATGTCAGTGGGGTTTTGTGGAACTTATTTCATCCTCTGGTTCTGAGCCGGTGCCGTCACGGTAGCAGTGCTCAAATTGTTCCCAGCTGGCACCTGCGGGTGCAGCCCATTGCCTCCTGGGTCCCTTCGACGAGCTCTGTCCCTTTTCGGGCGTGTCTTCGCTTTCTGGCCCCACCAGCTGCTGCAGCCTCATCTGGGTCTTCCCTGCCCCTGCCTGGAACCAGCCCTTTCTCCAAGGAGCCCTGGGGCCTTTTTCTGGGGCTTTCAGAATCCGTGGTCCGGCACCTGCCGTGGTGGGGATTCTGTGCACTTGGCGCTGGTTCGTCCTGAGGCGGTGTGCTGGACGTGGGTACGGCAGGCCGGCTTCCTCATTCACCCCAACCTGCGCTGTGGGAGGAGGCTGCTGGGGGCAGGAGGGTGGATGCTAGCACTCCGGAGGGCGGACGTCCATGCTGTGTGTCCTCCTCTTCCGGGGCAGATGGCCCGGGGCCCCGAGGTCAGGGCTTCCTACACGGGTCTGTGAAGATGCATGTGGGTTTCCGGGCGGCCGGGATGTTAGAGGATTGCGGGCTCTCTAGCGGGCTCTCTAGAGTGCTTGCATGGGCCCATCCTGGGAGACTCCCTTGAGGATCTGGAGCAGATCCCAGGGGATTCAGAGTCTGTGGCACTAGCTGTGGTGGGCAGGGGAACCTGACTCTGTCTCTGCGGCCCGGGTGGGGCTGGGGGTGTTCTAGTGGCTCCTCCCCAGAAACATGGTGTCCATGTCTGAACTTCGGGCCTTCGCATGGCCCCATCCAGCCCCCACGTTGGTTGCTCCTCTGGGAGGTGGGGGAGGTCTGGCCGCTCTGCCGCCTGGGCTTCCTGGGGTGTCCAGTCTGCCCAGGCTCTCTGATGGGGCAGAACTTGGGGGTGTTCCTCGGTGCCAGTGTCTCTGTCCGGCTGAGTCCTCCTTGCATGGACTGCTGCCGAGATCAGGCTGCTGGGCTGGGTGGTTCACACCAGGATTCTGACCTTAAGGCTCTGCTGTGTGGCCCGTGGCTATGAGTGACACACTTTAGGTGTCCATCGAGGTGAGTTCCTCCTGGTCACAAGACTGGGACGTGTGAAGGGAAAGAACAGGGCAGCTAGGGCTGTCCCAGGATCCTCATGGGGCACCTGTGGCTTTTGCGCTCACCTTGCCACGTCTCTGGTCTCGGCCTCCGAGTACCATTGGCACCGCCTGCTTTGCAGGCCAGGGCTAGGGGTCTAAGTGCTGACATTGGAATTTCTTTTTTTTTTTTGAGTTGGAGTCTCACTCTGGCGCCCAGACTGGAGTGCAGTGGCCGCTCCCGGCCACCGCAGCCTTGACCTGCTGGGCTCCGGCGATCTTTCCGCCTCAACCTTCCAGGTAGCTGGAATTACAGGCGCGTGCTACCATGCCCGGCTAGTTTTTGATTTATTGTAGAGATGAGGTCTTGCCAAGTTGCCCAGGCAGGTCTTGAAAGCGCGGGCTCAGGCAATTCACTCACCTCAGCCTCCCAAAGTGCTGGGATTACAGGCTGAGCCCGTGAGCCCAGCTGGAATTTCTTACAAAAGCATTGTTAGTGGCTGTCTTGTGACAAAGTGACCCTGACCCTCAGCAGCAGGAAACCTCATGGCTTGTCTTCTCGTGGTCAGGAGTCCTTGTCAAGGCCTCTCGAGGCTGTGGACATCATGGCCGCTCTCGGGTGGAGAGGGCCCCCCCTCAAGCTTGCTTCCATGGGCATGCGTATTAGCCAGGCCTTGCTGGCCATGGTATTGTGGTGCGGGAGCCTGGGGTCACTGTGGCTTTGTGTGTCCGCCATAAGTGGGTGGGAAGTGTGGTCACAGTGGTCTTGGGTGAACCGGAAGCAGGCAGGTGCCTGTGGGAGGAGAGTGGCCATGGGTGTGGCCTCTAGCCTGGGGCCCGCAGGTGAGGTGGAGGGGTTCTCGCAGAGGACCCTGGTGACCTCCCACGTCCACCGTGTCCTAAGCAGGCCTCTGCTTCCCCCTTTTCTCTCCTTTTTTTTTTGAGTCTCACTGTCACCCAGGCTGGAGGGCACTGCAGCCTCGACCTGCTGGGCTCCGGCGATCCTTCCGCCTCAGCCTTCCAAGCAGCTGGAACTACAGGCATGCACCACCATGCCCAGCTCATTTTCTGATGTATTGTAGAGATGAGGTCTCGCCAAGTTGCCCGGGCTGGTCTCGAACCCATGGGCTCAGGCAATCCTCTCACCTTGGCCTCCCAAAGTGCTGGGCTTATAGGCGTGAGCCACCGCACCTGGCCTCTTTCCTTTTGTTGCTTATTCAGCATGTGTGTGCATAAACGCTCATGTGCAAGTCTGTCGGTGTATACCTGGTCTGTTTCTCCTGATGGGTGTTCAGAGGTCGCAGTCCCTGCTGAGTGGTGACGCTGCCTTTGGCATTGGCCTTGGGAGGAGTGTGGAGGGAAGGCTGGGGGCAGTGAACTGTGTTGACTGTGGACCGTGGTCTTAGGTGTGGCGGGTTCTGGGCTCTGGGGAGGCGATCCTCATGCATGTTGTAGATGGGGAAGCAGAGGCCCTGTGGAGCCTGTGTGCCCGTGGTCATGTGTTGGGCCCCCAGAGGCAGAACCCCGATCAGGCTGTGGCTCCCGGCGGGTGGGGGACGAGGCTGGTCCTGGGAGAGGCCTGGGGCATGCGGTCCCAATGGGGCAGCTCTGGGAAGGCCTGGGGCATGTCCTCCTGGCCAGGCAGCTCTGGGGAGACCAGGGAATGTGGAGGTCAGCCGGAGATGCTCGTGTTGCCAGATGCGGGTGGGAATCGGCCAGCCACCAGGGAGAAGCAGGCAGCCAGGCGGGTGGGGAGAGGGGAGGGTTGGGGGCGTACATCACGCCAGGCCTCTCTCTGCTGCCTGTTGTGGGAACAGTGCCCAGAGCGGTCCCCAGCAAGGTCAGAATTTCCCGTGTGACCCTGTGCCTGGGTTTGGGGGACATCTCTGGTGATCCCTGGCGAGAGGTGGGCTTGGGGGCTCTCTGGTTGGGCGTTGAGGAGATGGGAGTCGACGGCCTTCGTCATCTGGGAGGCAGGATCACTTCCTGTGGTGGCCTGGGGTCCCTTGCAGATGGAGGCCAGCTCCTGGATTTGAATTCTGTCCCTGTCTTTTTTCAGGACAAACATCACGATGCTGCTCATGAAATCATCGAGACCATCCGGTGAGTCTCCATCCCGCAGGTGGACACGAGGCAGGGCAGGGCAGGGTGTCTTAGAGCCTGTGCGCTGCTGTGTGCGCGCAGCCAGATTGCAAGTGGCGCTGAGGCGCCTTGCTCTGTCCAGTGTGCTCAGCCGGCCTTCCCGAACCTTTCCGGCTGCTCTCATGGTTTGCGCCAGCATCTCCCAGAGGCGGCGTGATGCGGGTCCAGGCGCTGGTCAGATCTGGACGCCCGCGGCACAGCCAGAGCTGCTTTTCCCAGCTTCAGCTCCTGGCCCTGGGGCGGAGCCCTGTGCTGGTGGGTTGACCAGCTCCTTCCTCCTCAGCTGGCTTTCCTGCTGCCTGTCACTCTGCTCCCAAGCTTGTGTGGGGCGCTCTTGGAGTTGCAGCCCACCCTCACCAGGTCTGAGATGAAGTGAAATCATTTGTGTAGGTCTGGCAGGGTGGGCCTGACTGGATTGGTGCTCAGCGTAAGGTCAACTTTCTTCTTCTTTTTTTTTTTTTTTTTGA